AGCGAGTACCTGGGCCCCAAAACACCACTCTCCTCTTTCCGCTGCATGCTTAACCGTTGTCCTGACACGAGTCTTGGAGCCAGCAGGTAAGAATCCGTGGCCCCGTGGGGCCAGTGCCGTGGGGCCAGTGCTGGTGCGTGCACGAGTGCCTTCGCTCTTTCAGGCGGATGGTGTTCTGACTGCGCAACCGAGTTCGCAGAGGCTTTGTTTCTTGCGACTACAGTGAGCAGTCCTGGGGGTCTCACTGTGGGAGGTCCAGGGTAAGGAGCAGCTTTCAGGAAGTAATGAAGGCTGGAAAGAGAGTTGGGGCGGGTGGGAAATGGCCTTCTAGGGTTGCCTCTCGCCCCTCTGTCCCTTAGGCTGGGCGCTGGGCAGCGGAAAGTAAATGGCACAATCCAGACAAATTCCCCCGCCCCCGCCCTGCAGTTACAAATGTGTGACTCCCACTTTCCCCAGCTTTGAGCTTGGCACTGTTCACCCAGTAAAGGAGGACCTTATAAAACCCTTGATTGAACAGGGATGTATTTGGGACACGTGGAAGCTTCGGGGGGGGGGGGGTTCTTTCTGTTGTGGTCACTAGATTGTGTCCTACCCCTCTAGGGTGGCAAAGAACAGTTCTGCCTTCTGATTTTTGGAGCCTTTTCCTATTGTCACATTCTGTTACATTTGTGAAATTTAGAGGACACCAGGGATTTCACCATGTCCTGCCTTTGTATCATGCCTATTCTCTTACCAGTGCAAACAGGTTGAAGTAAAACTTAATTCTATTTGGTTTACCCAACTCTGCGAAAGTTCTGAGGCTGTGCCTAATTAGCTTTTCCCCCCTTATGCGTTTACTAAGGCAACAAGAAGGTGTCATGAGACTTGCAATTGCCAGTGACTAAGGTTAAACCCTCCTCACTATTGTAGTGCTTTAACATGCCGATTTGGACATTCAATAGCAATTAGTACAGTGTTGTGTGCCACTCTTCCAGTGTGTGATGCTCACCACCTTTCCCAAATATGCTAAAAGTAACTGACTAGAAGGTGAAGATGCTCGTAGTCCCCAAAGTCAGGTTTTTCTACCCCACCCCGGGTTTCTAGAGTATATTGGTTTCTAGGGCATCTTCATCTGCTGTCATATACTGCCACCAGAAACGGACTAATGCTTTGCAATCAGAGTACTCTAAGAAAAACATGACTCTAATATATGTCGTTTTCTTGTTGAAAATCACCATGCAAAATATTCATGGATAGTAAAAAATATTCAATTTTAACTCCTATTCTTAATCTGATCACAGTTGTAGTAGGTAACTTTTTTGTTGTTCTTTCTTTCAGTCAAGATGAGTGATAAACCAGACTTGTCAGAAGTGGAAACATTTGACAGGTCAAAACTGAAGAAAACTAATACTGAAGAAAAAAATACTCTTCCATCGAAGGAAAGTAAGTAGTGGGGGTTTCTAGTTGAGAGGAACAGTGATGGAAATTGGCATAGTCTGTTAACAAACCTATGTTCTATTGAATTTTCCACAAAGTAAATAATAATTAGTGCCCTATTATACTTAACAGTTTAAAATAATCAATAACTGTTTTTGTTATTGAGGCTATGTAAATATTCCAGCATAATAGGAACCAGGAGTAATAATAACAGTAGTAGGCACCAGTAGTATAAAGAAAGAAAAACTACTTTCTTGTTGAAAATTACAAAAATCACATTAAAAGCAATCTTGGAATATTTGACTGATCACTAGGAAAACACCTGTGTGCACTTTTAATTGTGTGATTTTTTCTGCATCTACAAATTTGGGCCTTCGATCTTGTCCTGCTAATGAACTCTGTAGATGCTGTGTTTCTGATCTATTCTACCTAATGACAAATAAAATGGGATAAGTTCAGATCTCGAACACACTTGTTCCCAGACTCAGGGGATCACTGTTAATTCCTAGAGTTACATCTTACTGGAGAACCTCAAAATATAACTCACAAATGCTGTGCTGTGCTTTTTCTTACACCATCATATTTGAGAGTTCTAAAATTAGACAAAACTGTTTTTAAAGTTTCCTTATTGTATTGTGATAGATGTATTGGAAAAATAATACATTTACCTTTTAGTCTCAAATAATGGCAGCAGCATAAATGTACTTCAAATGGAATGTAAAACCCAGAGTTTAAATAGATATTAAATTTTAATATTAATTTAATATTTAGCCTTAATAGATATTAAAATGGTTGATGTGTACACACATATAACTTTGAGAAAATTTGTGGATGGTACCTTGGTGTTCTGAATTTAGAGCATGTATGATAACCTTTAAAGATTTAGCACAGATTCCTTTTAATGGTGCTGGGTTTCAAACCCCAGGTCTTAGTTCTTGCTAGGCAAGCACTGTACTCCTGAGCTCCACCACACTATCTGGTAGCAAAACTCTAGGAAGAAACTATACATACTAAAAAAAGTCTCTCCTAATCATATTTTTATGTTTCTTTTTTCCCTAGCCATCCAGCAGGAGAAAGAGTATAATAAAAGATCATAAGATGAAGACCTCCTTGGAAGAGCAGCTTCATTGTTGCCTGACAGTTTTGAGATTTTAGGCAGTTACTATTGGATTCTTATCTTTACTACCTTGGCTGAAATGTCACCATTTGCCAGTGATCATTAAATGTGGTTTGAAACTGCCCACTGGTGTGTAAATTCTATTGTCAATCGTTTTACTACCATTGTTGGCCTTGTTGCATGTGGTTTTTCGTTTGCTGCAGGAAAGGACGATTTTAACCTACAGTGGGTGCTGCAAGTGCTTCATCATCTTTGTGACATTGTGTGCTACTGCAGCATCTTGAGTTTATTTTCATTTCTAATGTCACGCTAAGTAAAATATAATCACAAACTTCCTATGACACATTCTTGGTATTCTAAAGCATGAAATTACACAAGAGTAGTTTTTTCAATGAAAAATGATTGGAGGAAGACCTCCTGAGCAGATTACACTTATGTGAAATGTGAGGTGGTAATGAGAACTAATGCCTTACTTAGGAATGCAGGAGTGGAAACCTAGGACTTAAAATGATCTGTATAGGATGTTTTACTGGGGTGATTGATGCTGGTCAGCTGGAGCTGAGAAATTAGTGGTGATTAAGAAGAGACCAGCATCACTGAGAAGAAATGTTCTGGAACTGTTTCCTGACAATCAACACACAGAGGCTGTGTTCCAGAGGTGGCCAAGGTTGTGCCTTGCATTGCAACCAGACTTGGTAATGTGTAAGAGTCACACCCAGGTGGTACTGGTTTTGAAGGCATGAAGGGGTCATGGAAAGTATATGTGGCTTGGCACTGTGAGAGGCCAGGAGAGGCCATTGGTGAAGGTTCAGCCTCAGTGGCAGTTTTGAAGGCTCAGGATTGAAGGGGTCTTGCAGAGAAGTTAAGGCTTGGCACCACAATGAGAGTCTATAAGGGACTATTAGTGAAAGTGAAACTCAGTTGTAGTAAGGGACCCCAGAATTTTGGAGATGCCAGTACCATGGGATGACCACTAAGAACAGCAGCAACAGTAGAATGGAGCCAGCTGGAGCCTAGAAAACAAGCTGTGTTTGCTGCAGAGAGCAGAGCCAGAGAAGGGACCCAAACCTCTTGGAGGAGCCCAGAAGATTGTGAGTGAGTTGAGTTAGTTATACTTTGGGAGATTGGTTTGGTGTGATTTGATTGAGACTGTGCCCTGATTCTCCCCACTTGAAGTAAGAAAGTATTTACTTAATTTTTAAAATTTTATTGAATTAACATTTTTTCATTTATTTAACATAGTGACCACAGTTTCCTCTCCATCCTCTCCTCCTGTTCCCTTCTATGACGGGATCCCATCTACCCCCTCCCCATCCACTCGTCCTCCATTCAGAAAGGGGTAGGCATCCCATGGGCTTGCACAAAGCATGACACATCAAATTGAGGTAGGACCCATCTCCTCCCCCTGCATCAAGGCTGGGTGAGTTAATCCGGCATGGGGAACAGGTTCCCAAAAGCCTACTAAGTGCCAGGGACAGGTCCTGATCTCACTGCTAGGAGCCTTACAAACAGACCAAGCTGCACAACTGTCACATACATGCAAGAGGGTCTAGGTTAGTCCCATGCAGGCTCCCTAACTGTTGATCCAGGGTCCTTGAGATCCCATGTGCTTAGGAGAGCTGTCTTTGTAAGTTCCCCATCATAAACTTGACCACTCCTGGCTCTTATAATCCCTCCTCTCTCTCTTCAACTGGACTCCTGGAGCTTGGCCCAGTGCTTGGCTAAGGATCTCAGCATCTACTTCCATCAGTTACTGGATAAAGGCTTTCTGATGACAATCTGAGTACAGGGGATGGCCAGTTCAAGCACCCTCTCCACTATTGCTAGAGGACTTAGCTGGGGTCGTCATTGTGATTTCTGGGAGTTTCAGGCTAGAGGTTGGTGAGATACAGAGTGTGAATCTTTACCGGTGTTTTGTTTTTGAAGTTGATTATTTTAAACTTCAGTGATTTAAAATTGGAATTCAGAGCTGAGCATAGGATGCATTTTTTGCTCTTTGTGTGAAATTAAGAGAAGGGCAAGTAACTAAGGACATTGACATTTTTTGTTTTAATCTTCTCTTCATTAAATGTCAATATTCATGTTTTTTCCAGTACAGTATGAATGAATATGTATTATTAGTTCTTTGAGAATTTCTCTTACAATCCAAGCAAGTTGACAATCCAAAATGATCATTTATCTATTAGATTAATTTGATGGTGATATAGGTGCTTTGACCTTATAAATTCAGGATAGAAATAGGAGCATTTATTACTATATCCCCAAGGGGGTATGTGAATTGAAGCATAATGGGACTGATAGGGACAAAAATGAAGAAGAGTAAAAAAGAAATTAGTGGAGTTGAAGGGTGGAAGTGAATCTGAGTAAGTGTGATTATTTGCTTCAGTGCTTGGCTGAGTAAAGGGCACACCCAGTGAGCAGTAATAAGTTATTGGTGTGGCTTACTGAAAAGCAAACCAGGGGAAACATTAGTGCTTAGTGATATTTGAAGTGCTTATTTTGGTCCTGTGGGATAATGGGTTGAGAAACAAAGTGTATGGACACTAGGAAGAGGCATGAAAGGATAACTGCAGGTGCAACAGGTTATATTGTGTTTGGAGTCACCAGCTCTTCAGCCAGCTGTTATCTCTTCATTTTTTAATCAGAAAATTGTAGGCATGGGCACATTCTGGTTGGATTTCCATGGCAAGTAACTGGAAGGATCCAGGACTGTCATGAGGTATTTGACAAATAGTGAAGACTGAAAGAAGACTCTAGGGAGCCATGCTCACTATCCAAATAAGCTGAATCCTCAGAGGCAGTAGATCCATGGGAGTCCTGAGCCCACAGTGCCTGTGAGACTGCAGCAAGCTTTAGGTCAGAGGTTCTCAACATGTGGATCGAAACCTCCACAGGGGTTACAGATTAGATATCCTGCATATCAGCTATTTCCATTAACAGTCCTAACAGTAGCAAAATCACAGTTATGAAGTAGCAAGGGAAATAATTTTATGGTTGAGGGTCACCACAACATGAGGAACTGCATTAAAAGGTCACAGCATTAGGAAGGTTAAGAACCAATGCCATGGGGTAAAGGGCAAGGATATCTTAGGTGGTGGAATGTGGGAAGCAGGCATGTGCAACTATTGAGGTGAGCATCCAGCTCTCATTAGTAGGTGCCTGGCTGTAATGTTCTTTAGCTATGAGCATGGACCCACTTACCCCTTTCAGACCTTCAGTGGATGTGCAGTAAAGGTCATGCTGGAACCCTTAGACAAACTCAGGGTGATGTCTTCTTTTTAGACAGGCTTGGGTATGAAGAACTTCAGTTATACTAGTCTAAAGATAATCCCTGGGTTTATGAGATCATAACAGCTCTCTGTCATGGGCTACACTAATCCTCACACGGCTTGTTCACTGGCCAGGCTGCTGCTGCTCACTAGGTGCTCTGTGAATGAGACTGGGTGTAGAAGACTTCCCTTTATCTTAGAAAAGACCTCAGCAAAAGCATTCTTCAGCTCTGTGTAAAACTACCATGAATTGGTGAAAGGATATATGGTAAAGCCAGTTTCCAATCACAGAACATAAAGAGAGATATGGCTATTTAAGCACTACAAAATATCATTAGCTTTTATCCAGGCATGGTGGCACACATTATTAACCTCACTACTCAAGAGGCAGAGGCAAGAGGATTTCTGTGAGTTCAAGGGCAGCCTGGTCTACTAGTGAGCTCTAGGCCAGCCAAAGCTACATTTATCTAATTAGATTTTATTGTGATTAAAAATATATTCTTGGAGTCTGGACACACATTACCCTTGTCCACCCTCTGCCCTCTGCCCTCTGGCTGCCCTGAGGTGAGTCTGGGTGCTGCTCTGCCCCCAACTTCACCCATCACCTCCTGCTCGCTTCTGCCTGAGACCCCCCCTGGAAAAAAGTGGACCTGCCCACATTGGAAGACCCAACCTGAGTCTGGTTGCACCTCACCCTTGCCCCGCCTCCACCCTCTGCCCTCTGCCTGCCTCCTGAGTGAGTCTGGGCGCTGCTCTGCCCCCAACCTCCACCATCACTCCCTGCTGGCTTCTTCCTGAGCCTCCCCCTGGACAGGAGTGGACCTGCCCAGACCAGAAGGCCCGCCCTGAGTCAGGACACACCTCACCCTTGTCCACACTCTGCCTTCTACCCTCCTGCTGCCGACTGAGCCTGAGGTGAGTCTGGGTGCTTCTCTGCCCCCAGCCTTACCCATCACCCCCTGCTCAATTCTGCCTGAGCCTCCCCCTGGACAAGAGTGGATCTGCCCTGACCGGAAGGCCCACCCTGAGTCCAGATGCACCTCACCCTTGTCTGACCACGGCCCTCTGACTTTGGCTACCAACTGAGCCTGAGCCTGCTGACTGAGCCTCCGCCCTCTGCCTGCCACCTGAGAGAGGGAGACCCCTCCTGCTCCCACTGGAAAAAGGGACGGGAAGATGACAGAATAAGAACACACTCAACAACAGAAAGACCAATATGACACCACCAGAATCTAGTAACTCCACACCAGCAAGAACTGAAAAGCCCAACACAGAGGAAGAAGAAGAAATAGACCTTAAAAATTATCTTATGAAGATGATAGAGACCATTAAAGAGGAAACAAGAAAATCCCTTAAAGAAATAGAAGAAATAAAAAACAAGCAAAAAATTACATGAAATGGAGGAAAAGACAAATCAAAAAATTCAAGAAATAATTAAATCTCTTAAAGAATCTAAAGAAAGCCAAGAAAAAACAACCAAACAAGTGAAGGAAGCACTCAAAACAGTTCAAGCCATGAAAGCACAATTAGAAACAAAGAAAACACAGAATGAGGGGATGCTGGAAATAGAAAAGCTGGATAAACGATCAGGAACTTCTGAGGTAAGCATAACCAATAGAATACAAGAGATGGAAGAGAGAATCTCAGTTGATGAAGACTCGATAGAGGATACACAGTCATCAACCAAAGAAAATCTCAAGTCCAACAAATC